GTATATATATTATATACATACATATGTATAATTATATGTAAATATTGGTATTGTAAATGCAGAGAAAGAAAAACGCAACAAAAATAATTTAATCACAGACAGCAATTTATAAAGATATAGCTTAAGGTACAGACAATGCAATTTAAACTAATCACCAAATAGTATATATATTATATACATACATATGTATAATTATATGTAAATATTGGTATTGTAAATGCAGAGAAAGAAAAACGCAACAAAAATAATTTAATCACAGACAGCAATTTATAAAGATATAGCTTAAGGTACAGACAATGCAATTTAAACTAATCACCAAATAATATCAAACTCATATGAAATATTAAGCAGCGATAAATGAACAAGTCATCATTAAAATCTTAAGACCTTCTCATTGTTCAGTGCCAATATTAGTCAAATGATATGACATTTTGGCGAAATGAACTAGTTCCAATATTGATTTACTGCTGCTAATGATCTAATAAAAACAAGAGTTTCAATAAATCATTACTAAAACATTAAACAAAATAACAGCAAAACAAAATCACGTTTCATTTATGGGGAAACGTTTTTCCACTTCGAATAGATTGTTAGTATGCCTGATTGAATGCTTGATTGATTGACGTCAACGTGAGTGCATACTCAACATTTTCCAACACTGACCATCCATATGGAAATGTGAAAAATGGAAATGCAATGGAAAATGGAAAAGTCTCTTGGATGTTCGCTGTTGGAGAGGACAAGGTCAGCCATTTGCCAAGAGCAGAGCTGAGTGGAGCAGAGCAGAGCAGAGCCCAATTGCACATAGCTCGGAACTTCTCCTACTCTCAGWCAGTGTCTCCTTCTCTCACTCTATATATCTCTCTCGCTCTCTCTCTCTCTCACTTTGCTTTGGGCTCGCCCACGCCTTGGCATTTCAGTTACTTGGGCAGCGTGGGCGTCAGCAGCTGTTGAACTGCATTAACTGCTCTTGCTGCTCCTGCGGCTGTCCCTCCAACTCCTGCCGTTGCTGCCATGTCCTTCAATTAGTTGACGGCACCAGCTGCGTTGCCACATGCCACATGCCTATACCCCATATACCACATGGCCCACCGCCCATCCCCGGTATGGTCAAAAAGCTCGGCCCAATTCCTTGTTGACTGCAATTTGACAAGCACTCGACACTAATTGCAACTTGGAATAGATACATATTTATCTATGTTTATAACGAGCTACAGATACACACATATGTATCTCTATCAATGTATAGATGGGAATGTGTGTCTGATTCGTCTATATTTAGTGTGGGTCTCATCCAAGTCTGTCTATCTTTCAATTTACATTGTCCATCTATGCATAGTATCCCTGTATCCATCTTTAGATGCATGAGGATCTTTATTTTCATCTGTCCATAAATACGTGTTTATCTTGATCTATCTATGTCTGATGCATGTGTATCCTTTGCTAACTGCATAGACACACTTATATATTTTTCGATGTCTGTCTATAGATATATATATATATATGTATCTTCATCCATATCTGTCATGCATTCATAAGCATCTTTATCCTTTTATCATAGACGCAGATGCAAATTCAGTGCACATACAGATACATTTCTTTGTTTAGTATACTCTATCCACAGACACACATGCTTGACTGTAGATAAAAATGTATCAATATCTGTCAACAGATTCTTAATTGGTATCATGGTCTATATAAAAATATACATATCTAGGTTTACGTTCATATAATTATCTGTAGATACATTTGTCTTCTTTTATATCATTCTATTTATATTTATTTATATATCAATATCTAGGTATATTTATTTATCAATTTACTGTAGGTAATCCATCTTTGACTTTCCATAGAAACTTGTACATTTGAATTGCTTAAATGTAAAAATTACAATAAATATCTGTTCCACTTTGCAGGCAGCACTAGGATTTAGTATTCGTTGAGCCACTGTCCTTCCAGGCGGCTTTTCTCTATCTCTTTCCATGCTCCAGGTTCCAACTGACAGGAAGTCGGCCGTCACAGCAGTTATATAAATAAGTATATACACACACAGTAGTCTAAGCATGCACATGCATACATTTTGTACGTACATATGTGCGTATGTAAATGCAAGCACGCTTTGTGTGTGTATGTCATGTCGGCCATGTAAGCCATGCGTTTGCACTAAACTGCCGACAGGTGGCGCCAGTTAAAACTTTAGCTATTACACGAACCGGGCAGCCTGTCTAAAGCTTCTACAGTGCGTACGGCCAACGTAAATGTTAAGTAACATAGCTAAACTACTTACAGGTAAATGTTACGATTATGTGACTAGGGCGGGCATACTGGGTATAGCAACTAGAAGTGGGCCACACGCAATGCGTAAGACACCATTCACAGCATGATTGGAAAATAGCCATCGGATATAATTTAGACAGAAAAGTCTGTGAATGCCGTGGGGCGTATTTGATGTTTTGAGCCCAACTGTCAAAGCCAACAGACAAATAGATAAAATGACAAATTGATAAAGCGTCGTAGCAGGTAGCAGGTATCAAGGGGCGAGTGGCGAGTGGCGAGCGGCAAGGGGCAGCTGCTGTTGCATTTGTGACAGGGAAAACTGACCACATGTCAATGCAAAGCAACTTCAAAGCGTCAAAATGACGGCTACCCAACTGCACTTGGCGAAAATTGGCTGTTGAACTTGAAAAAAGATTTATAGATTTAAAAAATTTTTGTATGGTTTAAAAAAATTAGTTAAATAAGAAAATGAAATAAAATGAATATGAAAATGAAATCCTTTTAATGATTTTTGTATTTAAAAATAATATAATAAGTTTATTTATTTAATTTTTTTCATGAAAAACTTTTGTAGGAAATAAGAAAGAACATTTTTGTGCCGTGTGTAGATTTCTTTCGTTTTAATCTTTAAAAGTTCAAATCAAGCATTTCAACATTTAATTTTGTGTGGCTTTCGCTAAGTGTAGCTGGGGTAACTAGGGTTAGCCGGCTAGGGTCAATGGGGCGTGACAGCAGGTTAACAACTTGTAATTGCGACAATAATTTTGCATTTGCATTCGCAATTCGCAATTCGCAATTCGCAGTTCGCATAACGACAAATGTGGCGGATGGTAAACGGCGTTCGATGCGTTTAATTGAAAATTCATAAGCGAATAGTTGGTCAAAGGTTTTGCAATATTCAAATGACAATTAGATGTGTGTGCATGTGTGTGTGCCACGCCCATGCAATAAAACAGTTGCGGCGTCCCACAAACAATGTGCGCAACATTTAATTACCAAAACAGAGACGTCGCGCTGTTGAGCCATGCAAAGGGTTAACCCAAAACTCGAATTGGAGCTCCAATATACTGACAAATACACTGAGCGAAATTGCTAGCAACCATTATAAAATGTGTAAACATTAATGTTGCAGGTCCTTAACTTGCATTCTATATTTTTTGAGTGAAAGCAACAACTTTTAGGCATCCAGTGAATCATATATTGATTGATCTATTAACGACTAGTAAGTAGTACCTTACTTATTGACGGCCTAATATACTAATTAACAATGATTTATGGACTGACTGTTGACTAACAGTCATGACTGATATGCTGACTAATTGATTAATATAGATTGCTTGATTGATGTGCCGTCTAATATGCGGATTGTCAACTGATTGAATCAATCAGTCATTCAAAGTTATTATCTGACTTGCTGACTGAGTATTTGATGGACTAACTGTTTCGTATACCTAACTGTCCTTGTGTACTAATTACCTGATTGACAGAATACTATACTGATTGAGCGGCTGGTAGACTGATTGACAGTCTGACTTATAGACCGGTTGGCATACTGATTGACTGCCTCACCGACTGTGTGAGTAAATGATTGACTTAACGTCAATAAATATATCTGCACTGACTGATTGATTGACTTCAAGAAGAATATGCATAATAGAAGAGATAAAGCTATATCATTCTATAGTTGGCCATCTGAAAATTCTCTATAAATGTAAGAAACATAAGTTGTACTTTCTTCGTAAATATTTATTGTACTTAGTTATGTATAAGGCTGAAGAACAGCTGCAGCTACAGCTCGCCCTGTGATGCAACGGCTGCTCTTCGCTCACTCTGGTCGGGCGTGCCTCTGGCAGCGGTGCAGCGTCTGCGGAGCAACTGCAGCAGCAGAGAGTCGGAGCTGCTGAGCGTGCTGCGGCAGGCGCAGCTGGCGGGTTTTCGCACAGGTTTCGTGACCAATCAACGCTTGACGAGCGCCATGGGCTCCGCGCTCTATGCGCAGCTGACGCCGAGCAACTGGGAGTGTGATGGCCTGATGCCAGTGGGTGCTATCGAGGCTGGCTGCCAGGATGTGGCCCAGCAGCTCATCTCAAGCGCAGCGGGGCAGTCTCTCAACGTGCTGCTGGGCGGCGGACGGCAGCTCTTTAATGCCAAGGTGCCCAGCTACGAGTGGGATCCAGTGGATGAGTTGCTGTGCCGCGCCAGAGCCGGACGCAATCTATTGCGCGACTGGCAGAATCAGAAGCTGAAGCTCAGGCCCAGCAGACGCTTCGAGCTGGTGCAGCAGGCACAGGAGCTGAGCTCCATCAATGGCAGCAGCTTGGACTATCTGCTGGGCGTCCTGGCCAATGGAGATCTGAGTGGCAACGCCCGGGCGCCCACGCTACAGCTGATGCTGCACAAAGCGATGCAGGTGCTCCAGCGACCAGGTGTGGGCCATCTGCTGCTCGTCGAGCACTATGTCCAGCCGCAGCTGGCGGTCAGCCAGCAGCTGCAGCTGCTCAATGCCACACTCTCGGAGCTGCTGGGCCACAAGGATCAGCTCACGCTGGTGCTGCTGACCAATGGCAACTACCTCAGCGCCAGTCGCGATATGAGCGAGGAGACGCAGCCGGTGAGCACGCTGGAGGAGGCCTTCCAAGGGCCAGAGCTGGAGCTGCAGCGTCGACTGCAGCAGATGCCATCGGAGAGTTTGCTCTTTGCACAGGGTGAGTCGTGTCCAGACAGGGTGTATGTAGATATATTTACATGAATATGCTAAACTCCTTACAGGTCCCAAGTCTGTGCTCTTCTATGGCGTGCATGATGAAACCTATCTGGCACAGACTTTGTCCCACGCTCTGGGCATCGACGTGTTCGGTAGGCAGCTCTAATTTTCCTTATGGCAGATAAAGGAATTTTTATATAGTCGTTATATAGTGACATAAGTGCAAGCGAGTTGCTCGAACTGCTGCATACTCGTTCAATTTAAAAATATTTATAACATTCTATGAAAAATAAAACCATGAATACATTTTTATTGAATTTTTTATTAAAATATTCATTATTAAATGNTTTGTGAAAAGTATGTAACAGGCAGAAGGAATCATCGCAGACCCCATAAAGTATATATATTCTTGATCAGGACGACGAGCTGAGTCGATATAGCCCTGTCCGTCTGTCCGTCCGTCCGTCCGTCCGTCCGTCCGTCCGTATGAGCAAAAGGATCTCAGAAGATATAAGAGCTAGAGAGCTGAAATTTGGCAAGCATACTCGTGTATACCATAGGCAGTACAAGTTTGCTTTATTTTTTCGATAACTCATCCGATAACTTTTTTATCGAGAATAATCGAAAAATCGACAATGTTTTTTCAGCTTATTTTGAACACTTTTAGACCTGGAGACTTCAAATTTGCGTTGTATATAAAGTTAATGGATACAAAGATTTTGTAATTTACAGATTTTGGATACCACGCCCCCTTCGCCCCCAATTTGTAAAAAACGCATTTCAAGTACTAGAGACTTGTGCTTTGAAATGTACACACATTTAAGCCATATGATTACGCTCTAAAAGTTTCATTAAGATCGTATGTCTACAAAAGAAATTATTCAACAAATAAATTCTCGTTATATTGCCCACACTGCAGTGCAGCCCAAGCGCAGCCGCTGCTAGCTGCGCAGTTTGCAAAGCGCGTGCTWATACGYGCATGTGTATGTATGTGTGCATAAAAGAAGTCCAGAATGATTAGAATATCAGTTTGGAGGGTTCAGGGTATCTCCTAGTCGAGCAGTCTCGACTGGAGCCTTCTTACTTGTTAAAATTAAGTTTATTATTATTTATTTATTTTATTTTTTGTATTTGCTTTACTTATTTAATATTCTGCTATTTTTGACATTTTATTTATTTATTATTTTGTATTTTCATTATAAATATATTATATTATTTTGTTAGTTTTCTCAATATTTTTATTTTTTTAATTTTTCATACCCAATACTCAATAATACTCAAAATGAGTTTTTTTCATGGTGAGCGAGCATTGCGCAGTCGTTACCCATTCCAAGTGTACTACTGACTCCTTAAAAAACACTTTTATTTAAAAAAGAATTAAAAAAGAAATAGTGATTATATATTTATATAATTCATTCCCTTCTCACCCTTTTCGCACAAACTCCCGTTAAATAAAAGTAAAAATTTTCTTTTATGGCTTTTCGATAATATTTGCTGGTTTATTGAAACTTGAACTAGTAAACGCTTGATTAGACAATTGAATTTGAAACTAAACAACAACATTGCCAGTTGATTCCGTTGGCAGCATCCAATTGAATGGGGGCGTGGCAGCACTGGCAACTGTTGCTGGCAGCTCCAGTTGCCGATGCGCAGTTGCTGCTACCGTTGCCGTCGATGTTGTTGTCGATGTGGCAGCAATCCGTGGCACCGGCCGCAGCACATGCGAGCTGGGTCATTTGACCGGCAGCGGCGGCAGCATCGTGTGTGCCACATTCGAGAGCTGCCGCAAGTGATTCGCATGGACGTACTGGAAGGCCGAGGAGCGCTCCAGCTGCTGGCTGAGATAGAGCTCGCCCAGCGAGTAGAACCGTGGCTGAAAGGGAAAGCCGTTGAAGCGTGACACCGGGTTGCCATAGCTCTTGGGCGTGGCCGTCACAGTGGGATACAGTGTGCTGCAATGGGGCGGTGGGCGTGGCAGCGCATAGTTCTGCGACGGCAACTGTTGCTGCTGCTGTTGTTGCTGTTGTTGTTGCTGCTGCTGCTGATGWTGGTGTTGGTGCTGTTGATGTTGGTGGTGTTGGTGTTGCTGCTGAAAGAATTCCATGCTCTTCAGATTATCCAGCATCTGATGCGAGGCCTGATGCTTCTTCAGATAGGCATAGCTGCAAGGGGGCGTGGCTTTAATAGAGAACTACATCAGTGTGAGTTACCTGCTTACCGGCGAAATGTTTTGCCGCATTGTGGACACGGATAGATGCCATCGCCGACATCCGCATCACATCCGCCTCCTGCTCCAGCTCCAGCTCCAGCTCCAGCTCCAGCCTTGTGGCCAGCCTCTGTGGCGCCGCTGCTGCTGCCATTGGGGGCGTCGCTGCCACCACTCGCTGCTCGCTTCTTGCCGGACTGCATCTCCGACTTGGGCTTGTGCCAGCGGCGATGCGAAGCCAAGTTCGCTGGACAATTGAAAACCTGCAAATGCACAAATTTCCATGAGCTAACAACTAAATGTCCGTAAGTTGCCAATGACAACAGCTGCAAGTTAAGTCTGTGCTGAGACAGACCCTAAGGAGCATATATGAAACAAATAAGTAGCTAAATAGAATCGCTTATTTGAGCTACTTTTTCAATATTGCTATCAGAACTAATATTAAACTTGCTTACTGCTCGATTAATTAAAGTTTTGTTAAAATCTTTTAATCATCTACTTGATTTTTCAGAAAGTTATAATTTTTGGGGGTCATTTTGCTCTGTCTCCTAAATGTTTTGCCGCATACCTATGCCATATATTATTGAGAGTTGCATTGAGTACACTATTAATCAATATATTAAGCTTCACATTAATGATAAGATTAATCCAAATTAAAAGCTTCCTTCAACATTTATATTTAAAAACAAACATTAACAAGGTTGTTAAAGGGGAAAAAACCAGCTTAATAATCAATCATTATCGCCTTTTATTATTTCGAAGAGCTGTAGAAAACTTCTGGCTTAGTAGAATAAATATGAGTGAGAGCTCAAAACTGATTAACCTAAAACTCTTTTAAGATTTATCGCGGCAAAACACAATTTTTCACTTTAGTACAATTTAAATCTGGGTTAAATCTTTAGGTCGCTTATCATTCTCACTTCCTACGAATGTCAACCTAAGGTGTAGATATTTAAAGATAATATCTTTTTTAAGTTAATAATATACAGCAGAATCTGGGTATAACAACTACGCTTATGGCGTTTGTAAGGCTATTGCGATGAAAATTTTGTTTCCTAGGCAAACTTCTATGAGTGAACTTATATGGTTATAGCGTCGCCCGGATATAAATACGGTCCCTTGAGCGTCGCTACATCCAGATTCTACTGTATATGTATATTAAATAATACTCCACTGAGTTCCAATTTAATTGTTGCATATTTAATTATAAGCAGTCGTCTATTAATCTTAAACTCGTTATTTAAAGGTGGCCTTAATTTGAGAAATGCAGATACATTTAATTATTCTAAATTCGAAAAAAAGTTAGTTATTCACTTAAGAAAACTAACCTAACACTAAAATACTCTCAATATGCAAGTAGGCAAAACGCGCAAAATGAAAAATTCTTTTAAAACCGAAAAAAGAAGGGAACGGGATTAAAAAGGGGCCCCAAATAGATAGTTGCATAAGGCTCCGTTGATGCCCACTCCTGCCCAGTTTCTTTAGGTTTACTTCTTATAAAGGATAAAAAAACGTAGAGCTTCACTTTTCTAAAGGTTAAACAACTTTTCAGTCATTATCTATAGCAGAAATAACTGAAAAGTTGTTTATCTATAGCAGAAATAACTGAAAAGTTGTTTAACCTTCAACATTACTTAAGATCAAACGAAGGCTTAACGGTATGAAAGTTTAGACCAGTGACTAAAAAGAAGAGAAGAGAGGAGAGGTCAGAGAGAGGCTTTACCTTTTCGCACTCGGAGCACTTGTATTCGATGTGAACGATGCGTGGACAGCGATGCTGGGCGAGCATGAAGGCGTCGTCGTAGACGGTGCGGCAGAGCTGGCAGAGATAGTCGCCAATTTTGTTCTCGATGCTGGCCAAGATGGCTTTGGCCTCCTCGGTGATTTCGACCACATTGAAGGCGGGATCAATGTCGCCTTTACGCACCACCAGCTCCTCATCGTCGCGCAGCTTGCGTATTATGGTGCCGGACACGGGGCTGATTGTCTCCTCGTCGACATTTGCGGCGTGTTTGCGCAATTTGGTGCGTCGACGTTCCGGCTTGTGTTTGCGCAACGGCGAAGAATGTGCCTCGGGCTGTTGTTGCAGCTGGAGCTGTGGATGTGGATGGTTTTGTGGATGTGTTTGTAGTTGTGGTTGGCTTTGCGTTGGATTAGTAGATTCACTCAAGTCCATGTAGACTTTTTCCGGCTGTTCTTCGCTGGCAGCTGCTGCGGCCTCTGCCTCCAGCTCGAGACACTCCTTGGCCGCCTGCGCAAAGTCGCGCTTGAAGAGCTTGTCCAGACCGTCGATGGCCTGATTGTGCAGCTCCTCATCCTCATAGATCAGCTCGTTCCTTTTGAGCGCTTGCTTTCGCTGCTGCTGCTGCTGCTGCACTGGCGGCACCAACACCACATTATCATCAGCATCATCATCATCATCGTTGCCCAGTATGTCCACAAATACCTCCTCATCGTCCTCCGGCTCCTGCTGCTGTTGCTGCTGCTCCTCTGTCTCATTGACGTCGTGAACTTGTATTGAGTCCTCCTCATCGCCATCGCCATCGCCGTCGCCGTCCCCATCGCCATCCGCATCGGCCTCCGTGTCCGTGGCATAGTCATTGTAGTCATGGGAACTGACAACTGTTTCATCCTCGTCCTCGGTCAACACAATTGTCTCATCCTCCTGGCAGCTGCTGCTGCTGCTGGCTGCCGTCCTAGTCACGCTCGATTGACTTGCCGGAATTTGCGCAAAGTTACTTTTGCCGTGAAAATTACTTTTATCATACGCCGTACCCTCAAAGCCATAGCCACCCACTCCATGCTGCAGCTGTTGCTGCTGCTGCTGCTGCTGATGGTGGAAGTAGCTTGTGGCTGTTGTTGCTGTTGCTGTTGCTGCTGCTGCTGGTGGCTGCATCACGAGCGCCGCATGTGGCCGCCACAGGTAATTCTCCTCGGACATTAATCTTTGACGCTTGCGAGGCGGCGAGGGCGTCGATGGCGGCGTAATTGGCACCATATTCGTCGCGGCGCGCAAAGACAGATCCAATGGGGAGAGCAGCGATAGCGATATAGCCGACCTGCCATGCTGGCTAAATTGCGCAAATGTCTCGTTGATTGCCGGCAATGGGCGGCAGTCGGCGTAATGGACCTGGGGGTGTGGCACCAGAGGCGTCTGGCTCAATTGGTTCATATTCAACATGTTTTCACACTCAGCGCAACTTTTGTATGCTAGATATTCGTTCTTTTCTTTACTTTAAGTTGAATTGGTTTTAATATTCTTGAATATTTAATTAATTCGATTTTGATTATTTATTTAGATTAATATTTATTATATAGCTTTTTTATATTTAATTTATTATTAT